TGTACAGGATGGGTGGGCGGGAAGGGGGAGAGAAAAAGACAGACAAAGGAAGAGGCCTATGTACAGGAAGATGAGGGTGGAAGAGACACACCAGGTGAATATGGCAGTGAACGTGAGGGTGTGGGGTAAAGGAGAAGAGGAGGGAGACGGACAGGAGAAGGGACGACAGCCAGAGAAGGCCTGAACACGCAGCACTTCTGGTCCCTACAACTAAGGCACCAGAGTCAGTACATCCCCGTTGTTCCTGCAGTGTTGACACAGGCGCTGGAGGGAGGAGCGGGCGGCTGCTGAAGGGTGTGGGCTCCTCACACCTGCACGCCGGTGGCCTTCTGGATCAGGGGTATCTGGAAGGATGGGAGACGCCATGAGGTCGTGGCTCTGGGGCCCACGACCGTTCCACTGAGGCCAGTACAGGAGGCTACCCGGGCAAACTCATCACAGCGAGTGAAGCACACACCTTGGATAGGTCCACGCCTGTGAGGGCGTGCACGGAGGCAGGCAGCTCGGCCAGCAGTCGGTTCACTTCTGATGTCACCTTGTTGTTGTCCCCGGTGAGGACCACAATCTCATCGACTTTGGTCAACGGGGCTGCGACTTTGGCAGCGATCTAGGAGGTTGGGTGAGAGGAGAGCTTGGTTGGTTCTGACTCCGTCCACTTGCCCTGCCCGGCATCTCTCCCCTCCCCATCTCTCCTAAACCCCCACGCAGCCTGGGTGGCCCTTCTCTGAAAGCCATACTCTGGATGCCTGTTGTAGGGCTCCTCCTCCTGCTGAATTCTCCCCCATTTAATTCTTCCGGCCAGCCCGTGGCTATGTTCCCGACAAGGCCCCGAGAAATTCCTGTACGTGCCCCGCTGGTCCCGGCCTGGGTGGGAGCCTCACCTGGGGCAGGGCCTCCAGCACCATGGCCATCTTGGCCGAGTCCCCGTACTTCTGGTAGGCCTCCGCCTTGAGCTTCATCCGCTCGGCCTCTGCCTTGCCCATCGCCTCGATGACCGCCGCCTCCGCCTCACCGATTTTCCGGATCTTCTCAGCCTCTGCCTGAGCCAAGAGGACCTGCTTCACCCTGAGGGAGTCCGGGGGCGGCAGGATCAGTGAGAAGTACCTGGGGTCCCTCGAGCCTTGTCTGGGGGCCAGCAAACCCTCAAGCCCTCTGCTCGGGCAGGTGGTGTCAGGGTGGGGGACCCGTGAAGGGGGTGCCCTGGCATTCTGGCTCTGGCCAGGGAGAGGTATGGGCTTCCAGATGCAATCGGAAGAGGAGGTTAACCAGGATGCTGTGTCAAGCACCGTTCCAGGCCCTCAGAGCCTCCTTTATCTAATTCGGTTATCCTAACAATAAAGCCAGGTTCTTCACAGTGAGTCGACAGGATGGAGGAGCACTGGCTTCTACACTGAGGCCAGGAGAGCAGAGGAGCCTGCCCGCCCGCTGCCAGCCCCCGCCGCCCAGCAGCACTCACTTCTCGCCTTCGGCTATCTGCTGCATGCGGTGTGCCTCCGCCTCGGCGGGCCGGCGCACAGTGGCGATGAGCTCCTTGTCTGTGCGCAGGATCTCCTGCGTCTCCACTGCGATCTGCTTCTTACGCTGCACAACCTCGATCTCAATCTCTTCTTGCCGGATCTTCTGCTGCTCGCGGGCCCCTTGCAGCTCGTAGGCCAGCTGGGCCTCCGCCGTCTGCGGCACACGTGTGGTTAGCACGTCAGAGGCCAGCTGCCACGTCTGGAGTCCTAAGCCCCAACCCAGGGGCCCTGTGGCTCCTCACCTTGATGTTGACTTCCTCACTGAAGGCCGACTTCTGCAGCTCGAAGGCTCGCTTGGAGTCGGCGATTTTGGTGTCTGCCATGAACTTCACGTCCAGCATCTCCCTCTTGCACTCGGCTTCCTGGGATCAGGAGGGGCATGTGCTGAGGGTCCTCTGAGAAACCATGGTCCCCCCCCCCATCCCCAGTTCCCGGTCCCTGGGGGCGGGAAGGAGAACCCACATACCCGGATGCCTGCATCTCGCTCGGCCTCGGCCACCCCGATGTCAGCATCTCTCTGTACCACAGCAGTCTGCGTCTTGCCCAGGGAGCTCAGATAGTCCACTTTGTCATACACATCCTGGGGAGGGAAGGTAGAGGAAGTCATCCCTAGAACAGTTTTTAAGCTTTTATTTTTATTTTTTATTGATTTGATAGAGAAACATTGATTTGTTGTTCCACTTATTTATGCATTCATTGGTTGCTTCTTGTATGTGTCCTGAGAGATCGGATCCGTGACCTTGGCATATGGGGACAACGCTCTAATGACCAGGCTACCTGGCCAAGGCTCCCTAGGGACAGTTATAAGCACAAAGGTTCCCCTCCTGCCAAGTCCCCCACTCCCAGACTTAGGGGGCTACAGTTTTACCTTAATGGTAAAGCTGAGGATCTCGATGCCCATGCGGCCGACGTCAGGGGCTGCCACCTCCCGCACCAGCTTGGCAAACTGGTCCCGGTCCTGATAAATCTGCTCCACAGTCAGGGTCCCTGGGGGCAGAAGGATCATGGGCTGGCTCCCCAGGGACCTAGCCAGCTAGGAAAGGGAGGAGGCATGCAAGGAGAGGTCTGAGCATATGCAGGGCTGTGCACTCTGAGCTCGGTCTTCCTGGTTTCTTCTCAACTGCTTAGCGCCAAGCCTCCTTCTGCAGAGTCCAGGCTGGGTGAAGAAAAGTGTTCTAAGCAGCACTAGGTGCCTGATCAGACTGGCAGCCCCTCCCCCTCTCACCCCCTTCACTCAATGCCCTCCCCTTCACTCAAAGGAAATACTCGAGGGAAAATGTTTCAGCTTTTCATCTAGAAACCTTGGTGGTCTGACAGACCCCTGCCCCCTCCTGCACTTCTCCCTGGGCCTGGTATGGGGCCCTGCGAGGCTCCTCCGGGGCAGCAGAGGGGTCCCTGGGCTGGGCAGGGGCTCACCGAGGATGGAGCGCAGGTGCCCCTCCAGGGTCTGCAGGACGACGTTCTTGATGTCCTGCACGTTCTTGCCCAGGAACTGCTCGCAGGCCACGGCCAGAAGCTCCTTCTCCGTCATGATCTTCACCTGCCAGTGGGCACAAAGGGGCCTGAGCCAGGATGCAGGGAGCGGACGGAGGCCCCAGACCCAGTGTGGAGGAGGGCGGCCATGTCCCGCCCCTCCTTCTTCAGACCTGATCTGGGGGCGGGGGTGGAGTCTGTCTGAGGCTTCCAGTGGGGAGGGCACACAAGGATGCTCACATTGAGAGATTTCATCCTTCCTGGCAGCCCAGGCCCGGATGTGGCCTCCCTCCTGGGCACGTGGGCCGTGTCCCCTCCCCATTCCAGGCCACGTGCTTGTCCCCCGTTAGCCAATTCCTCCCTTGCAGGCTCCCCACGGGCGGGAGACCTGAAGACTGAGGGGCAGAGAATGCCAAAAGGACAACGAACAGTAGGGACAGAGACAGACACACTAGGAAGGAGAGCCTAGACAGGGCAGGGGTGGGCCCAGGGGGTGCCACCCAGACCCTTCCTGAGATAATAAGCCAACACCCCCACACCGGAGGCCCACAGCACGGCCGAACCTCCGCTCCGTGAGGCTGAGAGGGGGACTAGGGCAGGAAGCCCCTCACCCAGGCACCAAGTGGGGAACATAACAGTCTCCGACTCCAGGGCCTGCCTGACATGACCTCATCCTCTGGTCCCCACCCCGCCAGCCCCCTACCCAGGGAACGGGGAAGGGCCTGGCTTCTGGGGCTTGGCAGTTCGGACACCTGCAAAGAACGGGGTTGGGTTAGTGCGCCAGGAGCCCTCCGCACTGCTTCCGTCCCTCGCGGGCCCGCTGAGGAGAAAAGGGGTGTCTGTTAGTCCTGCTGGGTGGCCAAGGGGCCGGGAGAGCACAGCACGTTCCAGTGGCTCCAGTGGCGATGACCCTCTTGTGGAAGGGGGCGGGGGGGGGGGCGGGGGCAGTGGTGCTGGAGAGAGAACGCCCCTGGCTGTTGTCTTCTCCTCCCCCCGAATCCCAGCACAGGATGAGGCAGCTCAACGGTCATGCGCGGGGCTGCTGAGTTACTATACCTGGGCGACACCCGTCACAGTTAAAGCTACCCCCTCGGCCGTCTCTACGTCCTCGCAGCGGGGCTGCAACGTCATAATCTCTAGGGAAATCCTGCCAAGAAATGCAAAACAGGGGCATGGGTCCGGGGGCCCAGGGCCTGGGTGTGGGGGAGGAGTGCAACGCCTCACTGCTCCGGCTGGGACTGGCCAGCGGTCCTGCTGCAGAGATGGGTGGGGAGGACCCCCCAGGGGTCGTGGCTGGACGTGTGTGTAGGGGGTGGGGGTGGGGAAGCAGGGCAGGGGGATGCAGGTGCCTCCAGGGGTCTGTGAGTGTGCTCTCCGTGTGTGTGCTGCCTCTGCTGGCATCAGCCCGGCTCAGAGTGGAAGAAGGAAGCAGAGAAGAGGTGGTGGTGGTCTGGGCTGGTGGAAGGGTGGGGAGGGTCCGGGAGCAGCTGTGTGTGTACATCCCGGGAGAGCAGGTAGGAGCTGGTCCTCCAGGCTGTGCTGTGTAGGCTGTTCATGGGGCCCTCACCTGCTCCCTGGGTGTGCTCACACTCCAGGACACCCCGGTCTGCCTGGCTGGGGGTACCCGCTGCTGGGCCATGACGAGGGGATCCTGCACCCGCCCCTGGCCAGGGAAGCCTGCCTGGCCTCTCCGCCTGCCAGCGGACGACGAGGTGATGCTTACCCTCTGGGGTTGGGCCCAGGGGGTCAAATTGGGAACAGGCCACACTAGAGCTTCCTGGCCAAGAAGTGCTAGAAAGGCTCGTTCTACCCAGACTGTCTGAGGCCTCAAGGGTCCACGTCACCCGTTTGAAAAGGACGTAGGCACCTGCAGTTATCTCAAGCAGAGCAGTGGATCTGGAGGCAGGCGGGCCGCTTTAGACAGGAGATGAGGCGGCCAGGGCCCTGCCTAAAGGGCTCTGAGCTCCCAGGCCTCTGTGCTGAAGCCCGGCCGGCCCTGGCTATAAGGGGCGGTCCCCTTCCCAATTAGAGATGGCGGGGGTGGGGGTGGGGGCTGGGGGGTGAGGAAGGGAGCAGTGGTGCAGTTTTTGCCTGAAAAGGCTGAAGGGCAACATCGCGCAGAGGGAAGGGGATGGAACTGCACGTGACAGAGAGAGCACTTGCGGCTACTAAACGCCCTGGCCAAGGGATGAATTCCATCAGCTGCAGCTCCGTGGCCACGAAGAGGGAGACACCAGGCTACCTGCTTTTCAGAGTAAACACTATATTCATCATAAAGCTTGGGTTTCTACTGAAACCGGTTTGGCTCAGTGGATAGAGCGTTGGCCTGCGGACTGAAGGGTCCTGGGTTCGATTCCGGTCAAGGGCATGTGCCTTGGTTGTGGGGGGTGTGCAGGAGGCAGCGGGTCGATGTTTCTCTCTCATTGATGTTTCTGGCTCTCTATCCCTCTCCCTTCCTCTCTGTTAAAAAATCAATTAAAAATATTGAAAATATTTTATTCATATTTTAATTAGAATATTAAAAAAATAAAGCTTGGGTTTCTCTAGCACTCTTTCCCCCAAGTCCCCAGCGTGCCCTCCTAGTGTTCCACTTGCCTTTCCGATATCCCTGCCTGGCACCGCGAGGACCCGGTTCTCCCATCCATTCCGCGGACGGGAAAACAGCCTGGTGACAAGCGCTCTGCTCAAGGGCCTCTCCGCAAAGCATCGGGGGCCGGGAATGGCCGAGGCTCTTTTGCTCGGGCCTGTCAAGAAGCCTGAAGGGGTCAAAGGGGCTGGGTGAACAGATCTCCCCATGAGACCTACCTTCTGGCCTCGCAATAGGGGGGCGAGGGCTTGACACAGGGCGTCAGCCCGGAGAAGAGGCTAGCAAGGGGCTCTGAGGTACCTCCCGGAGGACCAGGACTCCATCAGCGGCGACAGGACTGACCCTCCCAGCCCGGACAGCCCAGCTCTGTCACGTAAGGGCTGTGTCTCCTGCCTCAGCTCACTCCCAATTTAGGCTTCCATCCAAGGACACTGACTGGCAGACTGACAGAGCTTCCGGAACCCTCTGTTCTTTCCCCACGAGCAGCCCCGTGGGCGCGGGCGAGGGCGCGGGCGCGGGGGACCTACAGGGCTCTGTCCTGGTGCTCAGACCAGCGGAGGTGGGAACAGAGGAGAGAGGCCCGCTCTCAGGAGGGCAGCCCATCTGTCCTGCCTGCCAGGCCCCACAGGGCAGGAAGAGAGAAGGTTAGACACAGAGGAGGAAGCAGGTGGGTTATTACCTGTGCAACCCCTGTTACGAATAGCGGGACCCCCTCCGACGTCTCAATATTCTCACAGCGACACAGGATGGTCATAACCTCCAGAGACAGTCTGAGGAGCAGCCGGGGGCAGGTAGGGAGAGGTAGGGGCAGGAAGGGGTAGGAGGGGACACAGCAAACACACACAGTGGTTACCAGATAAGCACCGATGCCTGATGCCTGGGGGCAGGGTAGCTCTCCACACCTCAGCCCCCCACTGCCAGCTCAGCCTAGGGCTGTAGGCGGCCAAAGACACCCACTGGCTGGCCTGACGCCTCTGGGTCTCTTCTCTGGCCCCCATGCTCTTCCAAGGAGCTGCTGCAGGGCTGGGAAGGGAGCCTGCTGATGCCCTGGACCTATGACCTGGGGTCAGGAGGCCTGTGCACCGGGCACCTGGGCTGCTCCCCACCTGCTCCCCGGGAGACCTCTGGCATGATCAAGGAGACTTAGCCAGCTCCACGCTCCAAACACAGGGAAACCCGTGTTTCCAGAAACTGGGGGAGGGAGGTCATTCTGGGGCTTGACGAGCCATAGCAAATACCCAATCCTGCTTGGGGCACACAAGCTCAAGGTCTGTGCTACTACAGATCACTAAGAAGGCAATTTAGGACCCTGGCCGGTTGCTAAATGGTTAGCGTACTGACCCACGGCTCAGACGAAAGGGTCTCGAGTTCAATTCCTGGTCAAAGGCATGTACCTCAGTTGTGGGTTTGATCCCCACCCCAGTTGGGGTGTGTGCAGGAGGGAACCAATTGCTCTCTCTTCTCTCTCTCTCTTCTCTCTCTCTCTCTCTCTCTCCCCTACCCCCTCCTCCCTTTTACTCTGTCTGAAAAATCAATGGAAGAAATATCCTTAGGTGAGGATTTAAAGAATAATAAAATTCAGGGCCAGAAAAGTCCAAAGAAAAATTTGGATTTTCTGATTTGGGGGTGCAGGTGTCAAGGAAGGCTGGCGGAGAAAGTGTGCCCCTGCCGGAATATTCACAGGGACAACGAGCAGCTCACTTTGGCATTCCCAATGCTGGGCACAGGCAGAGAAGACTCATGGTGAGAAAACAAGGAGCATCTAAGCCACAGGGCCCTCCCCTTTGGGCTCCTGGGGCCTCCCCAGGGCAGCGTGTGCGTGCGAATGTGCACGGGAACGTGGTCGAGGCAGAGGTCAGTCTGTGGACAGCGTGGAAGGTTGCCTTGAACCAGCGGAAGGGAGGACAGAGTCTGAGGCTGAAGGAGCAAAAGCGAGTAGTTTGGGGTGATAGGAAACCCTCACCTCAACTCTCACATGCCGCCCTGGGGGCGCTGGCCATGCAGATGTGCAAAGGCTGCCTTTTTCAGGCTCCCACCACTGGCACCCTAAGGCCGGAGAGAGCTCTTGACCTGGCTCAGACGGGAAACCACCAAGCTCTCCTCTGGGGAAGGAGGAGAGGGGGGATAGCAGGAAGGGAAGGAAGGAGGGAGGGAAGGAGGGAAGGCAGGAGGCTGCAGCTCAGATGCCAGAGGTGGAGGAATCGCTCAGGTAAGGAGAGAGCCGCCCGCATGAGGGTGATATGGGACGTGGCAGCAAAGAGCAGAGGGACTTCACAGAGCTTGGGGAAGACAGCTGACCCCAGAGAGGGTGACATCAGGACAGCTGTGGAAAGCACCTCGAAAAGGAGGCTGAGGGTCCAGGCTGGTTAGCAGCCTCTCCTCTGAGCCGAGAGGCTCCTCCTGGTCTAGGGAAATGAAGGCCTGGGCTTGTAGGGATGTCCCCCCAGCAGGCTAGGGGTTGGGGAAAGAGGCACCCCAGAACAGGGCCCAAGAAGGAGAGGGGCTGCAGACTGAGACTGCCCAGCAAGTGGGAGCAGAGGGAGAACGCGGAGCCTGGCTGTGTGAGATGGTTTCCTAGGACAAAGCACAAGGTCTCCCACCCTCACTGCCAAACCTGCCGTCGGAGAAGCCTGGCTCAGTCTCGGGGCTCTGATCCCAGGAGCAGGAAGTGTGGGGGAGTGGGGGGGGCCGAGAGTGTGGACAAAGAGCGCAGAGTGTTGCTCTAGCAGTGGCTGCCCATGCAGGACCCATCTCCGGGCAAGCTGCGAATTCTCTGGGCCTCGCTGTACACTGAGGTGCTGGGACAGGACACTCTGTGGTCCCAGGACTGCAGGGCACACGGGGTGGCGGTGTCTCTGGAGAGGACAACCCCTGGTTTCTGACAGGGCATTTGGCCCACTCCAAAGTGCCCATGAGCCTCCTGAGAGGAAGCCGTGACCCGTATTGACTGCTCCCTGACGCTTTTGGCCTGGGGATCCCACTCAGGCAGAGCAAAGTGAGGGGAGAGATGGGGAAGTGCGAGGGGGTGCAGGGCAATCAGTGAAGTTAAAAACTGTGACGTGCTTCCCATGCCCCGGACCCCAGCTGACACTTTCAGCCTCCCCGGAACCACAGGCACTGACCGACCGACCATGCGGCTTCTATCTGCTGCCTGGTGGGGCTGGGACGGAGAGGGAATTCCACTGGAATCTCCATCACGTCGCCTTCAGGATGACACCCCCGGCCCCCACATGCCCGGACCTTCACAGCTCTGCTGCCCTCTGGTCTGGGTCCTGGCCTGGAGGGATCTGGGTCCCTCCCCTGACCTCCCACAGCCAGGAGGGGGTGAGGGCGGGAAGGTGGCTGGCATGCCTCCTCCTCCTCCTGGGTGGGCAGTGAGGGTAGCAGGGAAGGTCCAGGTTGGATCTGGCCCTGCCAGGGGCTCTGGAGGAGCCAGAAGGCATGGCCTTATGATAGTCCCTGTGGGGAGCTGGACTGTCTCTTCCTCTAGCTTCCCACACTGGTTTAGGAAGTCCAGACCTGGCCGGCCCACCCTGGCACTAATTCCTGAGCTCTCCACTCCTGTCTCTAACCCACTGCTACCGGAGAGCCACTTCAGACTGGACATGTATTCTCCGCTACTTAGCCCTTGCCTGCATTTCGCGGGGCCCGTAAAGGTGAGGGTGCATGTTAGGGGTCTCTTCAGCCTTCTCTCCCTCCCTAGACCCCCTCTGAGCAGGGTGTTAGAATGAAAGCTTCACAAATAACTTTTGAGCTAAAATCAGGGCATTGGGGTTCCGGCTGGGCAGGACCCTGGATTCTCTGGGCCAGAAGCGAGGCCTCCAGTGGAGAAAAGTGCGCCCCCTAAGGAGGAGGTGCCCGTGGACAGACCTCCAGCGTCCCTGTGCCACCCATCCTGCCTGCTTCTCCGGAGGCCCCCGCCCCCAGAATGACCTGTGGCAAGTGGCAGGTGCTCTAGCTGATCTGCGGGGAGATAGGGGAAAGCTGGAAACCCCCTCTCCCTTGCCCACCAGGATGCCAGCTTCCCTGAGCCCCCGGGTCCTTACCTCTTAGTGTCAGAGATACACCACCAGGCCCAGGCCCAGCCGCCAAACACGTACTGCTTATAGTCCGAACCGCAGCAGCCCCCTGGGGAACAAAGCAAAACGCCGCTGGTCCATCCGCTCCTGGGTCTGTCTATCCCCAACCCCTCCGACAGCAGCCCCGGGCCTTTACCTGCTCAGACACTTAAATCGCATTTTGAGTGCCAGGTGCTGAGGTTACACATAAATGGGAGACCTGCCCGTAAGGGTCTTGGAATCTAGGTAGCTCAATAGGCCGTTTGCATAAAAAGGAGGATATCTAGTGAGTAGATCGGAACACATGTGCTGTCAGAGAACAGGAGAGGCTCATGGGCAGGGGTGAGCAGCAAAAGCTTTCATCTTTCAGTCAGCCATTCGTTTAGCAAGCATTTTCTCTGCTAGGAATACAGAAATGAAGGTGATAGGTCCTGTCTTGAAGGAGAGAAGACTAGGAGGAGGGACCTACTTATTATTTATTGTTATTATTTAATATTTTATTGATTTTTCACAGAGAGGAAGAGAGAGGGATAGAGAGCCAGAAACACTGATGAGAGAGAAACATCGACCAGCCACCTCCTGCCCACCACACCCCCCACTGGGGATGCGCCCACAATCAATGTACATGCCCCCCGACTGGAATCGAACCTGGGACCCCTCAGTCTGCAGACCAACGCTCTATCCACTGAGCCAAACCAGTCTCGGCTGTTTTTTTTTTAGACTGTTATACCATGCAATCCACCTATTATCAGGGCAGGTGCAGACAGGGAGGGAAGGCAGACTCCAGCCATGGTGGGAGTTTTTTTTATTTTTTATTTTAATTAAGGCATTATACGTGTACATATCTTTCCATCCCCCCCCCCCGCCCCCCGGTGGGAGCCTTTCTCAAGCCTGGCAGACACATGTCGGTGAGGCTGCTCCTGTGTTCCCAGGGGTTCAGAGTGACTTTGTTCCTCTGGTGGAGCAGAGAGAGAAGGCAAGACCTCAAAACAAAGGCCAACTCATGGCACCAATGGAAAGAGTGAAATAAAGGGAAAAGGTCTAAAAAGAAAGTGCTCCTGGAAACTACGAACCACCAAACAGAATGCGGATCTGGCCGGGACCCAGACTCATGCCGTGGACATGCTCGGCCTGCTCACTGCACAGAAAGCGGGAAAACCGAGTCCTGAAATTCTTGTTGTGAGCCCTCCGGCAAAGGCCACAATTACTCAAGTTCAAGAAGATTTGCATAAAAGCTGGAAGGGCAGTTCGGTTGTAGTGAAAAGAAATGTACAGGAAACATGACTCAAAGGACATCTGATTGTTTATTTAAAAAACACACAAAGGAAATATGATTCGGGGGGAAAAAAAGTCAGTGGATGCCTTCATTTCCATGTTCACAAACTGGGGTTTTAAGGAAAGCCTTAGGGTATTTGCCTCCCAAGGTCAAGGGTCAGGGATAGTTCCCTGTAGCTGAGTAACAGTGTCTATGAGGAACCACAGCAAGGGACAAGCTGGAGGGGGGGGAGGGCAGATCACAGTGTCTCAGGTATCAGGCCAAGTGTGTGTGTGTGTGTGTGTGTGTGTGAGAGAGAGAGAGACAGACAGACAGACAGACAGAGATGGCCACACAGAGATTTAAACTGGGGAGCAACAAGCCCTGGCCGGGTAGCTCATTTGGTTACAGTGTAGTCCCTATATGCCAAGGTTGCGGGTTCAATCCCC